CTGACCTGACCTGAAATGCGTGATAATGTGGGATGTTCCCACAACAGAATAAGCACTTACGCTCAAGATTGCTCAACAGAATCAATCACAACAATACGGTCTGCAAGCAAACACAGTGATAGCTTTCATTCATGTTTTGTTAAGAGATTATTTCATAGCCAAAATAAGATATACTTTGATATGTGTTAATAATAACACATAAACGTGTCCAGAAACACTTCTATTGCAAATAACTATCACTGCAAGGACAAAAAAGGAGAAAAAATACACCATCTTTTTACAAATTAAAAAATATCTTAATATTATACAGTAATAATATAATATATTGACAAATTTCTACCTCAAATTTATATGCTGCGTAGTGTGACAGTTAAAAATTCATCTTATTAATACTGTTAGTGTTGAATGGTGATTGCGGTATGTTTAGAAAACCTGTTCATGTCACGACCTGTGTGTTGAAAACCATGAGCAACAGGTGGAGACTAGAGTCCCAAGCTCTACTCACATTTGTAGATGATACCCTGTTTGGAAAAGTAAGACCATGTGACTTACAAAAATTAGCAAAAGCATTGAAATAGAGAAAGACGTGTGGACTTGATGGTATTCCAAATGAATGCCTTAGGCATCTTCGAAGAAGACCATTAGTACATCTGACACACTCATTTAATCACTTCCTTTGACTGTCCCATTTTCCAAAGTCTTGGAAGGAAGCAAAAGTTATGTTACCGAAACCCAGTAGGGACCCAAAATTTCCTCAAAATTTACATCCAATTAGCAAGCTATCTGATAAAGTTATTCTGAAAATTGTTCAAATGCACCTTAAAGAAAGAAGCCTGTGTAATGCAAGCATGTTTGGTTTCCGTGCCTGTCACAGCACACTTCAAAGTATGAGGCTTATGGACCATGTCATCTTAAATTTCATCAACAACACGTCTATGGCCACAGTATTCTTGGATATTGAGAAAGCATTTGATACAACATGACACCTTGGCTTGCTATGTAAATTGTTGGAATTAAAATTTTTGATCAGCTTAATCAAGCTTATTATCTCTTTTCTTTTTCAGAGGAGATTCAGAATTTTGAAGATGAAATGTCTGCTCCAAGGGATATACAAGCAGGGGTGCCACAAGATTCTGTCCTGTCCCCCACATTTTACAGCATACTTATAAATGATACACCTCGAACACCTGGTGTCTCTCTAAGTCTCTTTGCTTATGACACCAGTATATATATGACACTGCAGGGAGTGTTATGTTCTCAGAAAGATGCAGCGAGGTCTCAGTGCTACTGAGACAAGGTGTCAGCGCTGGAACATAAAAATCAATGATCATGAGGCTTAGTTCATCTACTTTTCTCATGTACTTACATTCCCTGAGGCTTATCTTTCATCAAATGAACAGAACACCCCCATTCGCCATTAGTGTGAAATATATCCATGTAATCTATGATAAAAGTTTTACAGGAAGACTGCACATAGAAATGATTGAAGCCAAGGCCTTCCGAACATTTAATAGAATCGACTTCCTATTCAAAAGCGAGTGTTTAATCACCAGCATTAAACTAAACCTCCATAAGGTACTGATCGGATGAATAAAGACTTCAGCTTACCCCGGCTGGGAATTAGCGGCTCACACCAACCTCTTGAATTAACAGCTCCTACAAAACAAGGTTTCCCATGCTATTGGAAATTTTCCAAGCTGCACACCATTCTGTGATTTGCACACAGTTTTCAATCTTATGTGTGCGCTATATTATTGTATAACAAAATTGTTCAGGTAACATGACGAAGTCATACAAAATCGTGAGAATGAACATGGTCACAGCATAGGACATGGAGAAACCAGACAGAAAATATAAGAGGCTTAACTTGGCGGTGGTCAAGCTTATGACCGTTGATGTAGGATAGGCATGTGCTGTTTTGCAAAGCCTGGACTCACAGAGGACTTGTGTGTAATGCAAAAGGAAGAATTTTCAATGACATGCTACATGTGCGATATGCACACGTGACGAAAGGCCAAGCATGTTCATAAGAGACATGCCCATCCTCTCAGGAAAAAGGATGTTATATGAGGACTATAACTGCAAAGGTTCAATATCTCTGGTTGTGAGTCTCAAGGGGTTTGGTGACAAAACGAACTGACTGGCTGTAAACCGCCAGTCATGAAGTAACTTTGACTTTGATAGCAGTATAGTCCTCAGAGTTAGGCTGCACGTCTCCCCAAGTCGTGAAACAGTCTTGCGGGACTCAAACGAAGAATTTTTGTTTTGGCAATTTCCAAGAGCAATTTGCACAACTGCATGATAATCTAGACTTCAAAACACTGAAACCATAATTCTTAAAAGAGATTGTCATAGTATAGTGACTAGATACTGTGTTTGGATTAATAACTGAATTTATTAAATGCTTATAACTCCTAAGTACAAATAACTATTACATCGTCACTGATTTACACTACAGAACAGTAAAACTACGGCACACAAAGTCTCCTGTTTTTCATTCTTTCATTACTAGTCATGTCACTAGTCGTTTCTTGGTAGTGGCTACTATTGAACTGACAACTCTTGGAACTATTGCACATGATTTCCTTATGCCAGCTGAAGTTTTACACAAAAAACATGGGATGGTCTGAAACAATTTCTTTCAAGACAGCACATATATGTTGCTGACTTTGTAGATTAGACAGCTTAATGTTCTCTCCCTCCAGGTACACACGAGCCCTCTTAGCAGCAAGATGTGCATAATATGTAGGTGCTGGATAGGACACACTGCGTGTACAACGTGAGAACATATGACATAAGTAGTATGCAATCTTTTCAATTTCATTTTCTGTCATACTGTCATCATCATTCCACAATAAATGATACTTGGTAGGTCTGCTAACACCCTGGATGCTGGAATGGCTAACCAGATAAAAGTCCACTTCAGTTGGGTGAGTAATTTCACGATCAACCAATGTACCGGGTGGAACGTTCTTATATCTCCCATCTGCATCCTCACTTCTTGGAAAGAATCGGGTGTGGTGATGTTTCTGCACCACCAAGAATGTCACTTTAGGTTCATATTCTTGGCCCATAGAAAAACAAGCACGTCGAATTGCATTCACCTCACTGTTCAAAACCTGGGCGAACTGTCCGTCACCTACACCATCTCGAAAAAATATTATCCTCTCCGGTTTGCAAGCAGATGTGTGTCTATAAAAGAACAGAAGCTGCTGTCTCATGATATTTTCCAGGTCTTCAATGATCTCTACCTTCGGAGGTTGTAACCTAATCTGGGTGTTGTACTTGAAAACCTTTGGATCATGGCTGGCAGTTACAGCAGCAACTGAAGGGATGCTAAGCTGATCAGGCGATGGATGGGTCACATCGGCTCCTACTATCATAACTGGGCGAAACAAACATGGTGGCCTTGATACTGAAGCAAATGTGTGGTTTATACCATTCAGTTTTGAGTTGATTTTCAATAGAATGTTGGAACATACAGCAGGATTCAAACGTGACATTGTTCTTCCCTTCACACATTGAGTCAATACTCCAACATTCAGCTCTGCTACTTTCTTCACTTTAGCATAGCAGTCTCCTCTATCAGGAACAACTACCACCACCAGCTGAACCGCTCTCTTTACTGTTTTAAAGAATTCCATTAGTTGATGTGTATTTTTTGTTGGAGGCTGCATACTTTTTGGGGGAGGAGGAGGAGCAATTTCCATTCCCAAAGTTCGTCCCACGTTCTGCATTTCAACTGCAAACCGTCTCATCTCATCTTCTGTTGTATATTTGTTTAAGTTCAGAATAATCCAGTGAGAAAGCTTGTTGCTGCTCAAAAATGTTAATGGCCTCCAAACACCCTTCATAGGCTTTACAACATTTTTTTTGTCCACTTCAACATTATATTGTAACTGTGGTGCCTCTAGTACACGAGCCTCTACTTTTTCAAATCGGTCACTGACTGAGAGGCCAAACTCTTTCATATATGGGTCGTCGTTGAATCTCACCGACTGCAGCGCTTCCCGAATCTTTTGCTTCCTGATATCGGTAGATGTTGTAGTGTTCTTTATCATATTTGATATTTGTGTCTCATTCAATCTTCTGATTGTTGCTTGACCCCTTATCACCGTGCACAACTCTGCTGGAACATAGATTGGTTTAAGCCTATTCACAGAGCCAACATGAAGACATGGGAGATGTGGATATGAAAGAATTATCTTCTTCTCATGGGCAAAGTATTCTGCAACAGATATCCATGTGTGATCATCCAATTCAAAGAACTGTTCAACTGGACTTTTTGTAATATTGTTCACTCTGTATGTCCTCTTGCTGGTTGGCACATTTGGAAGCATATAATCAATCTTCAGTCCACGAATATAGTTCAAGAAATCTTCCTTTTGCTGGATTGTTAGTTCTTTCTGAAGGTCTTCATGCCTGAGCTTACATATCTCCAAAATGAGGTCTACAACATTTCTTGCTGAGGGGAAGCCTTTGTGAGCGACATCAATATTAACAAAGGGTTTCCATCCCAGGATGGCACTTTGAAAGAATCCATGCCACATTTCGACGCCATCACCTAGTTCCACTACTCGACCCTTTGGAGGACTAAAGAAAGAGCGTCCTGCCTGCACAAACCTGAAGGCTGACACATTGCGCAGTATAATATCAACAGCTTGAATGGCTTTTTGAGGAGGAAGAAGAGAAGCCCCACTAGCCGTGTACTGTACCAGAGACTGCAAATCAGCCTGAGATGCATACTTGATGGTAATCTTAAACTTTCTTTCTTTACCAGATTCATTATCACACAAAGCAATATGATCACACATCTCTCTGCCAAATGGCAGCTCTCCAGAGCTATACAAATTTTTCTTCCCGTCAAATGCTGGAAACCGTTTTGGATAATGTTTGAGCCTAAATTCTTCCATGGCAGCCCTCAACATTCTCTGTGGAAATGAAGGCTCTAGTGTTACATCATAATGTATGATAATGTTGTTTCGTACTCTTGACAAATCCAGTGCAAAATGATTAGTTTCAACAATTATTGATTTCCCCATGGTTCCACACTTATTCCAATCCTTTCTCACTGGTAATTGCAATGTCTGAATTAACTGGTTTGTTGTTTCAGCACCTGATGTATCACCTACAGTTCGCTGAGCAGCTCCTGCTGACAGTGCTCCTTGTAAAGTACTTCCATGTTCTAGTCCTTGGCTGTGTTTCATTTGCTCTCTGTGTGGTCCTGTGTGGCCATTGCAAAGACCAGAAGTACCAACAACTGCCCCCACCTGGGTTGGTAGTACTTGTTCCTGATGAAGCATCATCTTCTGCTGCAGTGGTTGAGATGGTCTGGCACGTCCTTCAGTACTTAAAAGCGTTTCCTGTTGTTGTTGCTGTTGTTTTTTAAGTTGTGATGGTTCGATTTGTGTAGTTTCACTTCCTTTCTGTCCAGTGCCAGTTTTCTCTGATCCGTCACATTTGTCTCCAGTTTTCTGCCTCCAAGATGTCTTTTGTGCTTTCTTACGCATTTTGTTGAATCAAATTTTTGTAGCGTGTTTTTCTACTGAAGACGCCGTTCGGACTGTTAATTGGTTCAATTAACAACCTACAAGTCTTGGCTACAATTAATTAGAACACTGTTACGGGTTTAAACACTTTAGAACCCTACACACAGATCTCTTCACACTATCACGATTCACTCGTTACAACTGAACTCGGTGACTACTACAATTCAACTGTCTTACGCGGCTGCTATATTTCAACTGACTCCTTAGGCAGTGTAGTTCTCTTATAAACCCTCAGCCAGCGAACGGGAAAACGCCTCGCTTCCTTGTTGCCTAGTTGCCGTGTTTGCAGGTGTTGCTGGGAACGCTATCGAGGGTTGTTTATTGCTGCGTAGCAACCTCGGCATCCCCCGGTGCATCACTGTTGTCAACTAATTCTCAAGTCAAAGTCACATTGCGACTGATGGTAATTCTCAGTATGTAACCTCGGGGCAGACCAAACATAAAACAGTTTTTCCTAGCAATTTCTATGTTGCTATAGACGTGTGTTTACCTCGCCGTTGCATAGAAACTGTAGTTCTCCTATTGTTACGCGGGTGTTTACTTCCACGGGGTGTTTACCTCGCCGTTGCATAGAAACTGTAGTTCTCCTATTGTTACGCGGGTGTTTACTTCCACGGGAACTTGTTTACCGAGTTGTTGCCGAGCAACGAAGTATTCCGGTTTTCAATATAGGTTATGTATGATTCTGAAAAATGTGTAACGAGAAAAATGGGCCTAACAGGAAGGGTCAGTTAACTGGAGATGTATTATTATTTCGCTCTCAGAGTAAATGCCTGGTTGATCAGATCAAGGATCGAATGGGCTGTGGTGTAAACGCTGCATTTTCTTAATCGGTACTTGCTTGGTTTGTTTCTCGGCTGGGACACCAACTAACGTGACTGAGGGTTTCTTATGTTTTCTCTTCCGTCCTTCGAAACAGATGCTAGGATATTACCTGGTTAGGGAACAGCAGCTTCCCTCCAAATCCTTTTGAAACCTCATTCGTCTCTCATCCTACCATTCAACACCAACAGTATTTGTAAGATGCATTTTTAACCGTCACATTACGCATCATATAAATATGAGGTAGAAATTCTATAATTTATTATTACTGGATAAGGCTAAGAGATATTTAATTTGTAAAAAGATGGTATTTTTTTGGTCCTTGCAGTGATAATTATTTGCAATAGACGTGTTTCTGGACACCTTTACATGTTATTATTAACATTCCAGGCAAGCAAAATTTGAATTTGCTTGTACTTCTGCTATGAAGCGCCTGAACTGTGTAAATAGGGACAATTTTTCTTATTTTGTTCATACAACACAAGATGCAAGGCTTGGCACTGTTATATGGGACACTCCATACAGCATTGAATAATGGCAATGTTTGTCAATAATCTATAATCGCTCGGCCGCAGTGTACATTTACTTTGTCAGTTTCTTAGATAATTCATGCATTTTTAGTGTCTCACTTATCCATAGCCTTCTGACCGGTTATGGGGTCGTTAGATTCATATGCAGTTGATAAAGGGAGATCTTTCTCCGAGGGATGTGCGGGCGTAGTGTGAAGATGATCGTTCACTGCCATATGGGGCCGAGATGAAAAATGAATGGAACACCATCTTTTTACAAATTAAAAATCTCTTAACACTATACAGTAATTATATATTGACGAATTTCTACCTCAAATTTATTTGCTGCGTAGTGTGACGGTTAAAAATTCATTTTATAAATACTGTTAGTGTTGAATGATGATTGCGGTATGTTAAGAAAACCTGTTCATGTCACGACCTGTGTGTTGAAAACCATGAGCAACATGTGGAGACTAGAGTCCCAAGCTTTACTCACATCTGTAGATGTGATAGATGGAATGTAAGACCATGTGATTTACAAAAATTAGCAAAACCATTGAAATAGAGAAAGACATGTGGATTTGATAGTATTCCAAATGAATGCCTTAGGCATCTTTGAAGAAGATCAGTAGTACATCTGACACGCTCATTTAATCACTTCCTTTGGTTGTCCCATTTTCCAAAGCCTTGGAAGGAAGCAAAAGTTATGTTACCAAAACCCAGTAAGGACCCAAATTTCCTCAGAATTTACATCCTATTAGCAAGCTATTTGATAAAGTTATTCTGAAAATTGTTCAAATGCACCTTAAAGAAAGAAGCCTGCTTAATGCAAGCATGTTTGGTTTCTGTGCCTGTCACAGCACACTTCAAAGTATGAGGCTTATGGACCATGTCATCTTAAATTTCATCAACAACACGTCTACGGCCACAGTATTCTTGGATATTGAGAAAGCATTTGATACAACACGACAACTTGGCTTGCTATGTAAATTGTCGGAATTAAAATTTTTAATCAGTCTAATCAAGCTTATTAGCTCTTTTCTTTTTCAGAGGAGATTAAGAATTTTGAAGATGAAATGTCTGCTCCAAGGGATATACAATCAGGGGTGCCACAAGGTTCCACCCTGTCTCTCAAAGTCAAAGTCAAAGTCATGTTGCAACTGACGGTCAGTCAGTCTGTCTGTCTTGGTGTCGAGCCCCAGCTGGGGCTCATGACCAGATGTTTTCTTCTTTGTCAAAGTTGCTGTCCTGTCCATTTGGGGTGCCCTCTCTGATGAGTGGTCGGGTCTGTCATTTGTCAGTCTTAGTCACTCTATTATCAGTATTGACATATATTTACAAAATAATTCTAGTCTTAATTACTCTTTATATGTACAAGGTGTGGCAATAAAGAACCCGGATTACTTTTATGACTCATTTCCGGCCACGTCATTGACGAAGAGGAGGGTAGGGCATTGACCCTTGGACTTCCCTCTACCGTCACACAATTTCATTCACGTGCATCGGTTAGTCTGGCCGCGACCATTGTTAGAAGCGGATCGTGTTTCTGAGCTCCGTCGGAATAATGCTGAGTGCTAATGCAGAACAACGTGCTAACATCAAATTCCTCACAAAACTTGGAAAATCTGCCACTGAAACTTACAATTTGTTGACAGAAGTATATGGTGATCA